CATGGGTGAATGTGAAGACTTGAGAAGACAGACAGACCCCAGAAACTCTGCAGAGAAATCCAGGTGGTTCTGTTTCTCTCCCTCTCAATCCATATTACCATATATTGTTCAATAAATGATGATTGGCACTGCAGTGATTCTCCCTGTGAATTAATTCTATACACTACAGATTGGCGTTGTCGGCCCGGTAGGACCACATCAGTGAGGTGCTCCTGGCGGCCTTGGGCGCAGAGCCGGCTTTTCTCAAGTGGCCACTGGAAAGGGTAAGTTTCCCTTTTCATATATTGATGAATTGCTCTCTCTGTGCCTGTGGCTGTACGGGAGGTAGGGTTTTATAGGTTTGAATGTCCAGTATCGTTCCTTTCATTGTTTAGTTTTCTTTCGTGATGAAGTCCATTTTTTCGCTGAGGGTTTTGACGGATGCTTGGAGAGAGTTGTTTGACTGCTCTAACGTTTCAATGTAGTTGTGGGCAAATTCAAGGCTTGACCGGAGTTCTTTTATTTCCTCGTGAAGTGTGACCAGTAAATCGAGTTTCTTATTGATGGATTCAAGAACACTGACCTCAATGTCTGTCATCTGTAGAACGCTTGTATCCGTAGAGGAGGTCTTTTTCCGTTTGTTTGGTTTTGGCATATCTCTTTGGTTTGAATTGGCGGTATTCTGAATGTGGTATTGGTCGATGAATGATTCCAGGTCCGATATATCCTCCAGTATGTGAAAGGTCCGTTGTGGTTATTGTCGGCAGTTGTAATTCCGATGGATTGCTCATTTGATACTAGTATTGGGATATAAAGTCCAAAAAAAAAGCTAGCAAAATTTGTTTAGGCTCAGTGACTGCGTGTCGCCATATTGAATTCCCCCGCGCAGTCTCACGATCTCGCGATACTCAGAACATCACGCTTGTAACAGAGCCACATCACATCTGACCTGACTTGGTCCATATTTTAACCGAACACCAAGGTTACCACACAGCCTAACAGCCAGACATTGTGGACAACTGCCCTAAGGCCTTCCAAGTCCCGCAGCCCTTTTTGAAGAGGTCCCTGAAGAGTGTAAAAAAAAAAAAAAAATCAAGCTATAAAACCTTCATAATTACATGTAGCTAATTCCTACCGCAAATGAATGCTCTTTATCAAATTACCACACAACATGTATTTCAACATTTATATTTCAAAATCTGGACACGCTGCACAGAGACTGGAAGGAGGAGAGGTTTAATAGGGGATAGCAGTTAAGCCTCTTTCTGGTCTGGCTGCGGCTCATACAGTACTTTTTGTGTTATGTCTGTCCTGCTTTTTCCATGGACATCCTGATTGGAGGTGCAGCAGCAATATGCGGGACCTGGAAAAAACGCCGCCGGCGTGGAAAACACGCTGCCGCTTTGGTGTTGTTATGACAGAGAGGAAGACGGACCTCACTCCCACCTATTCACCTGGTAAATCTCCGCTCCCTGGTCAACAAAATGGATTAAATTCTTCTCGTCAACAGGACTAACTCCGACTTTGCACGCTCTGCTGCTTTATGCTTCACGGAGACCTGTCTCAGCGACTCGACTGTGGACAGCGTGATTCGAATATCGGGGTTCCAGGTGTTCAAAGCGGATCGTGTAAAGGAGCTGTCCGGAAAAAGGAGAGGAGATGGAATCTGCTTCTACATAAATGAAGGTTTGTGCACAGATGTCGCAGTGCTACAGAGGACATGTACCACAGACCTAGAGTCTCTTGTCATCAACTGCAAACCCTTTTATTCTCTCCGTGAATTTAACAGTTTCATGCCAATGGGAGTGCACATAACACCGCAGGCTAACGCTAGCGTGCTATGGCTCCTAGCAAAACTGATAACTAGCCTGGAGCTAGAACATCCTGACTCTCCACTCATTGTTCTAGGGGACTTTAACAGAGCAAATCTCTCCCACAAACTGCCCAAATACAGACAGCACGTCACCTGTCCCACCAGGAACAAAATCACACTGGACCACTGCTACACAGCAATGAAAGACGCCTATCACTCAGCCCTCAGACTCTCGGATCACTGTATGGTCCATCTTATTCCAACCTACAGGCAGAAACTTAAAGCTGTGAAGCCTGTAGTCACAACAGTGAAGAGCTGGACTGAGGAGGTTAAGTCAGAGCTATAGGCCTGCTTTGACTGCACAGACTGGAGTGTATTTGAGACTGCAGCTACAGACCTTGATGAACTCAGTGACACTGTGTTATCTTATATCAGCTTTTGTAACAATATGTGTGTGCCCAAAAAGACCTTCTGCACATACAACAACAAGCCCTGGTTTACAGCATAACTCAAGCAGCTTCGTCATGCCAAAAAGGAGGCCTACAGAAGTGGGGACAGGACTCTGTACAGCCAGGCCAGGAACACATTGACAAGGAAAATCAGAGCAGCAAAGAGGAGCTGCTCTGAAAAGATGAACGCTGAAAGCTCAGGTTTCAGCCAACGACCCCTCGTCTGTGTGAGGGAGCCTGAAAACTATAGAACCCCCCACCCTGCTGTGGAGGACCATCAACTAGCAGATGACCTGAATGTGTTCTACTGCAGGTTTGACAAACACTCCCCCCTCACCCTCCCCACCTCAGACCCAGCAGCTGCTCCCCTGACAACCACCACCCTTCCCTCCAGCCCCCCACCTCTAACAATCTGTGAAAAGGATGTACATGGCCTCTTTAAAAGGCAAAAGAGCAAAAGGGCTCCAGGGCCAGATGGTATGACCCCCTCCTGCTTGAAAGTGTGCGCTGATTAGCTGGCCCCCATCTTCACACTCATCTTCTACAGGTCACTGGAGCTGTGTGAAGTCCCCCCCTGCTTCAAACGCTCCACCATCATTCCAGTCCCCAAGAAAACCCCCATCAGTGGACTGAACGACTACAGACCTGTCGCCCTGACATCTGTAGTTATTAAGTCTATTAAGAAAGACTGGTGCTGGCCCACCTGAAGGACGTTGTTGACCCCCTGCTGGACCCCCTGCACTCTGCCTACCAGGCAAACATCTCAGTGGACGATGCAGTGAACATGGCACTGCATTACATCCTGCAACACCTCGACTCCCAGGGACGTATGCACGGGCCCTCTTTGTGGACTTCAACTCGGTGTTCAAGACCATCATCCTGCACATCCTACACTCTAAACTGACCCAGCTCACTGTGCCTGCCCCCACCTGTCAGTGGCTTACTGGCTGTCTGACAGGGAGCCGCAGGG